CAGTCAGCCAATAAGGTTGAGGGCTAACAAGTTTATTATACACTTGCAAAAACTGAACATTTATGAATTTTTTTGCGGCTAAACGAATGCGTTGTGATGACACTAAACCTGAGGCATAGCGCAGTTGTAGGTTTTAAGTATATTAGAAAATCAAAAATATACCTACATATTAGCCACCTGTTTCTCAAATGTGAGGGTGACAAAATCAATTTCCATTTTTATATTCGTGAAAGTTTTGCAACAGGTTTTATAACGCTTATCATTAAGAGTTCAACATTTATGATTAAGTTTGAATGTATGAATAAAGTTTACATCCTTTCCAAAATGAGGAAGTTGTTTAATTTTTTTTGAAATAAGCATGAACACACTTTCGCACTTATTTTCGGTTTCGTCCCCAGAGGACATTATGCAAAAGAGAGACTGATGGGGTATGGTTTCTTGTGTGGTATAATATCAGAAGCCATTATTGATAATTTTATAGAATGCTTCCGTTACAATTACTAGATTTTTCCGCTAATTAGATTATTATTAAATTTGCTTCACAGAGACGCATCAATTTTCAGTGGGATCGAATGTTTGAAGGCTCTGAAAAATAATATGACTAGTAGTTAAAAAAATAATTATAAAAAAAAAAACGTTGCAATATACATCAAAAACATTAAAATGAACCTAGTGATTCTGAAGTTTGTTATAAAAATACTACGGAAACGCAAAAAGACGTTATTAAAAAAGTATTAAAAAAGAAGCGATGAAATAAACTATAGTTTAGTTTATTTAGAAGCCTATAAGCAGCTGTTGCGGTTTTCAAAAGGTCTAATTTTTTTTTGAGGTTTAAATTAGTTTCAAAAGGGTTAAAACCTAATTTTTCATTTGTTTTAAAAGACTATTTTAAATCGTCTATTGTCATCGTCTTTCTTTAAGATCTTTAAGTCAGCGTGGTAATTATTAACAACAACTTTTACCCAAATGAAAACTAACTTTTTTTAAAGAACTATTCATAAAGTTTTAGTAAGTTTTGAATAGAGTGATAGAAGCATCATTGAAGCAACATAAGCTATTGAAAAGACACCATTGTAGCCACATAAACTACTGATGGACAGTCTACTGTCTTCACGTTAAATTTTAAAGAAAATTCTTAAAAAAATAATAAATTATTTTAAAGGCACTATTTTATTCGAATATGTTAGAATATTACTTGGGCGGCTTGGCTACCAAAGCAACTGAAAAGAAGGCTGTTACCAATAACCTTCTTTTCAGTAACTTAGGTCACCAAGTAGTAATAAAAGCTGTGTGCTCCATAATTTGTGGTGCACAGATCTTTTAGTCTATGATTAACCGGCTTTCCTTGCCCTTAACGGATATCGTTTTATAGCATTTAGTTTATCTTCCCCCCCCCCCCCCCGATGCCAAATAAATAATGCATAATAAATATTTGATCATAAAGATTAAAGGTTTACCACGAAATGGGTGAGTTTGGTGACATCGGTTAGAAAAGAGGCGCGATGTTAAATGCTTTTACGCGGGGTTCCGTATCGTACAGACTTCTTGGGGGCACTTTAAAAATAATTTAAAGAGTAACAAAAAAATTAAAACAGTGCCCTCCCCTGACCACATTTAAATGTTTGATTAGGACCAAAATTTTACTTTCGGTCTAAACGAAAAAAAAATTTTGCTCCTTATAGCTCAAGGGCCTCGTCGTCGCTTTCTTAATTTTACAAATCCATCCTAATAACTATATTAGCTCCTACTTGTATAATTTGTAATGCCCCGCCGCAAAAACGGTCCACATACATCTGAATAATTCCAAGTAGTAAAACCCAGATGTACCCATGAACTAATGCTTTTTAATAAACTACCTACTTTTAAAAAATGTTGTAAAATGGCTTTGTTTTTTGAAGAAGTAAATAATGTAATTTACATTTTGCTTACTTACTTAGTAAAATAAGTATTTGAAAGAAAAACATTACTTTTATTTTTAATAGTAAATTTTTTTTTTTTCAAACTACTTGTATTATGTAAGTTGCCTTTGCTAATTAGTTACTTTTACACATGTAAGTAATTTATTTTTATGATGTACTTTTATTTTACTTTTAAAAGTAAGTGTTACATTTTTCAAACATTACATTTACATAATGTTATCTCAGAAAAGAACTTTTTTACTAATAAAAAGTAAATTACTTTTCAATGTAAGTTCGCGAGTAAGTAAAATCGAAATTACTTTTTAACGACTTATCTGAAAAAGTTATTTACTTTTTGAAGAAAAAGTATACGACTTTTAAAGAATTTATTTTTACTTAAAAAAATAAATTACTTTTTTAAGTAACAGTTACGAATTTAAGTAATTAAATTTATGTAATTAAGTTTTACTTGTAATATAATTTATGTAATAAAAAAAAATACTTTTAAATGTAAGTGAATTATATATTTTAATGAGTTATGTAAGTAATTTACGCTATGTAAGTAAATCGCGTTTTTACATTAAAATAAGTAAAAGTGCCATCCCTAATACAGAGATTTTTTTGCATAAATCAAGTTCAAAAAAAAACTTTTATAACTATAAGCACTCTAACGACCAAAAGCACCATAACCATAAAAAAAACCCCAATTTTTTGTTTGTTTTAGACGTAATATTTTACAAGCGATTCTTTTTGATAAGACTTATGGTCTTCTGGGAGTCTCGGCGTTCTATTTTTTGAATTATATACCCGTACAGCTTCATCTTTGGGATCCTCCATAAATTATGCAACGCTAAATTTTCACTAGTAGACAAAACAAAAAAAAGATCAAAAGTTACACCCTCGCAGAGCTAAAAGTTATATGAAAATCAATATAGCACATTAAGTTTATTAAAAATCGCCGTGTTAAAGGTTTTTAAATCTCCTACTTCAGTTTTTTAAACTTAGCGTAACGTAATTTATGGACAATTTTTAACTATTTTTGTATTTAACAACGATCTTAAATATCTTATTGCACTTTGATTATCAACTGAATATTTAGGGATAAAAAAATAGTTGTTTTGTTTGTTTTTTAGTAAGTGCTTTGATTTTTTTGTTTATTGCCACCTGGTAACCCCCCTCGTTTTGTCGGCCCAGAAAACTTAGTTTACACGATAATGATTGTTCATTTTTTTACTTTCGAACCACAAATTTGACAATTTTTACAAATTTCCGAACCAGAAAATCGACAAAATTTACGCTTTCTACGCGATATCAAAATTATTTATCGAGACCAAGGACGTATTAATAGACAGACGTTTAAAAAGCCAAGTAATGCACGCTAGCAATTGTTATAAATAACAATAGCCAAACAATAGGAAACATTTGCGTCACGTGCAAAAACGTTTATATGATATTTTATTATTATTTTTTTATTTGAGTTTTCATGCTATATTTTTCTATACAATGTTTTTATATCCGAAGATATTGTTGGCTTAGCATAGGAACAGCCACAAATAGTCATTAAGACTAATCCAAAGTAGCGTCCGTTATTGACCAACATTTTTGCGTACGAAGTACTACTCAAGCACTGAGTTGGCGGTGGCGGGATTTGAACTTGTATCGTTCAACAGTCCGGGTTAGAACTTTTCCTTTAACGCTCTAACCATCTGAGCTATCCCGCCACTGATAATATATTGAAATGACAGCTGACTTTATTATTACGTAAAGTATTGTGGTTAATATATTTTACTATTTTGTTAAAAAATATTCTATATATTCAATTACCTTAGTATAGCTCCTGTATAACTATATTGCAAAATGTTTTTAAATCATATGATGTTTCTTGAACTCTACATGTAAAAAAAAAAAAATTCAAATACCGAAAAATATCAAAACAAAGTTGTGAGAGAAACAATTTGATTTCCGTCAAAAAGAGAAGTTTAAATCTTTAAAAGATAAGCGAAATTTAAATGTAGAGAATGAAATAAAAATGCAGAGAATAATGGTTATAAACAATCTTTAATGGTTATAAACAATAATGGTTTAAACAATCTTTAATGGTTATAAACAATAATGGTTATAAACAATCTTTAATGGTTATAAACAATAATGGTTATAAACAATCTTTAGTGCAATTTATAAATGATATATGATATGACCTACAACACGTAGAAAATTCTTTTTACAATATTTATTTTAGTATATCACATATTGCATTTTACAAAAATATTATTTTTGACGGGAAAGTTTTTTTTAAAAATAAGTTATTAAACAAAGTTTTCAAATCAATTAAAATATTCATTATCACATGAGACATTCTTAAATAAATTCTTAAAAAAATGTCGGTTTATTTTGTAAAACTATTTCAAAAAATGACCCACGTAGAATTGTTAGTGATAGGCGGCACATCGATCTATAACAAAATGTCCATCTATTTATACGTCCATGTTCAGACTTAATGTTATGAGATAAACATCTCGTAACATTAGGCTATTGTATTCTTCAAAATATTGTTGTTGTTTTTTTAAACTTAAAATATGAGATAAATGAAAAGTGAGATAAACATCTCATTACATTAAATTAAACATTCTGAAAAATATTGATTTTTTTTTCAAAACTTAAAACATATTTACTGAGACGTAATGTAAAGAAAAAAATATCTTATAACATTAGGTTAGCGTATTCTTCAAAATATTATACCTTTTTTCAAAACTCAAAATATTTTAATAAAAAATTAATTTACTAATTCAACCTATATATACGACCAACACTAAGCATTGGAAATCAAATGTGTACCAACACATATTCACCAAATGTATTACTTTTTAAACTGAAATACCTTTAACATTTATGTTGAGAAAATATTTTATCAATTCAATAATTATAAAACTAACTCGTTTAAACAAGTATTTTAGAATATTTTTTTTATAGAAATATCAACTGCCTTATTCTCTCAACTTTCTGACGATCATTTTTGATTTTTTATTGAGTTATTTAAAACTCAAAAATATTTTATTTTATTCGGTTCTAAAGCTTTAATTGAAAACAAATAGAACAATGACGTAACAATAGAACAATGACATAACAACTTTTAATGATTTTCAACTTAGTGCGAGGCTTCCTGTTTCACATTTTCCTAAAAACAAACAAACAAATAAGACATTACGCGTGAAATGATTTAAATATAAATTCGAGTGCAAAATAAAAAAATTGAAAAATAAAAAATTGTTTTACGAAAATTTTTCAAACATAAAATAATTTACTAAAAACAGTATTTGTCTATTCAGCTTACTCCATGAGGGTTTTCTGAAAGCATTTTTTCGTATTCTTGAAGTTCTTCTTCAGTAAATTGATCTTGCTCAGTTAAAGGTTTCCAATCTTCATCCTTTTCGAAGTCTTCAGATTTGGTTTCATCCATAAACTCCGTAAATGATATTAATCCATCTTTATCTTTATCCATCTATAAACAATATTATATTGTAAAAAATATAGGACTAATACAAATATATTATCAACTAGTAAACATGTTACTAAATTTGGTTTTAAATTTAATTAAAAAACTGAAGTTGGTAAGCTATTTTAACAAAACTGAAACTGTCTAATTTATTGACTCGATTTTATTAACAAATTGTCTACTTTAAAGACCAAATTTTACTAACAAATGTCAAGAAAACAAAAAGTTTTATATATTAATAATGAATTTTCTGAAAATTAACTTATTTATTACAAACAATGTATCAAAAAGCTGTATTTAGCAACACTGGTAACCTTGGTTTTGTAAACAATTCCAGAATACACATAACAAAATGTAACCAATTGAAGCAACACTTATAATAAAATGTAAACAATCCCAGCAACACTCACAATAAAATGTAATCAATCCCAGCAACACACATGATAAAATGTAAAAATCTTTTTAAATAGTTTTGAATAAGTTGAATGTTATATAATCTTTAACTAAAACAATCTACAAATTAACTCCTATCTAACAGACTTAAAACAACCTACAAATTAACTCCTATCTAACAGACATAAAAGTATATGAATATGGTTGATAAAGTCATAATAAATATCGTCAATAACTGTGTAATAATGAGTTGTGTTAAATAAAAAATACTTCAGAAAAATTAAATTTATGTAAGCTTTGATAACTTTAAAAAAAATTTTGTTAACTTTAATAAAACTTTGATAAACTTAATAAAATTTTAATTAATTTAATAAAGTGTTGATAAATTTAATACATCCTCGATAAGTTTAATAAAAATTACATAAATTTAATAAAACTTTGATAAATGTAATAAAATTTTGATAGATTTAATATAATTTTGATAAACTAAATATAATTATTTGGGAGCGGCGATGTATTGTTTGACATCGTTAAATTCGACGAACACGATTAATTGTTCGATGCATTATGTTCGATGCATCGAACATAATGCCTCGAACAATTCATCGTTAAACGATGCATCGAAAGACTAGATCGTTAAACAACGCATCGAAAGAATAAAAATAAAACAACTAGATTTAAAAATAAAATTTTATTTAGTTATTGTTATTTGCTATTAATCATCTACAAATATGGCAAAGAAATTTTACATAAATTAAAAAGAAAATTTAAAAAAATATAGACTTTTGTAAGTTGAATTACGAAATAAAACTATTTTGCTGCATACAAAAGTAGCGCTTACAGAAGTTGCACTTCTGTACACAATATTTTGAAGCCTATAAAGAAAGTTTGCTGGCCAACTGGATAGAATTGTAAAAAATAATTTTTATATACCAAAATGTTTATAATAACATTTTTTTTTCAGTATTGCAACATATAAATATTTAAAGGTTTTATTTTTTGAAATAATGATAAAAAAATTCCTTTCAAAACTAAAATGCCTAAAAATAGTTCTCTAAAAATAGCTCTCACTTGTTTTTAAATAAAATGCTTTTATGTTTAGTCAGTTTCACTTTTTTTATCTTTAAGGTTTCTGTTATATGAGCTTTTATTACTTTAATAACAACAAGTTTTAAAAAGTTTAAAAAACATCCTTTTCAAAGATTCTAAAATGTTTTCTTAGAAAAACATTTTAGAATCTTTGAAAAGAATGTCTTTTAAACTTTTTGGGTGGAAAGGTAAGAAGGGAACTTATTCTCTTTTGAATCACTAGCATTGGAAAATGTTTTAATATGCAACATCTATGTTAACATTCTATATTAAAATTGTTTCCCGGGTCTTTGCCCCTGGAAATAATTTTAACATAGAAGCTCACCAGGACTATACAAGCGCTGAAAGTTTCAGAGCTGTAGCTAGTTTGAAAGGTAGTGATAAGTTAATTGAAAGATTCAGTAAGAACTGACAATGACCAAACAAGTTAAATTAAAGTTTGTAATAGAGCCAAATATTTTACTGAATTTTTATATATGAGAGTTCAAGCAACCAAAAGTTGATACTTAAAATATATAAATATATATAAACAACAATAATATATACAACAGGGAGTAGAAATATATATATATATATATATATATATATATATATATATATACATATATATGTATATACATATATATGTATATACATATATATGTATATACATATATATGTATATATATATATATATATATATATATATATATATATATATATATATATATATATATATATGAAGTTGTGTTAAGAAACAATGACGAATTCACTGTGAGCTTGTTTTTTAAGGCTTCTGTTTTCGAATTATGGGTTAAGAGTTAAAAAAAAAAAAAAGTGAATATAAAAAATATAAAAACAAGTAACCTACTAGTAAAAAACCTCTCCATATTGTATAAAAAACATATACATCAATCAAAAAAGCTTACATTCTTCATGACATGTTCTCTCATTCTTTCTATTTCTTCAGACCTTTCTCTAAGATCAACTTCAGGATTACTTTCATTGTAGACTTTATCTATCTAAAAACATAAAAAACAATGATATGCTTAAAAATATAATTAAATACTCTATTAACATCTGTTAAGCACTTTATTTAATTGTCTGTTAAACTTTCTTTCAACCTCTTGCATATTTTATATCCTACCTTTTATAAATGCTAATGTCTAATCTCTGCAGTTACAAACATTTTTTAATTTTTTAGTTGCACCCTATGGTGCACCCTATAAGATTTATCACTACACAAAATAAAAATGTTTTTCTGACCTTAACGTCAGGAAAACATTTAAATTTTTAAAACACCCACATTTTCATAATACCTGCAAAAACATTTTGTATTTTGTTTTTGATAAAAACCAACTTAAAAATTTACCAACAGTGAGTTGACTACCCTGTCAGCCTGATTGTAACTTTCTGTAAAATAGTTACCTATAATACTTGCTACATTTAAAAAAAATGTGACTTTTAAAAATGGAAACTCACTCGCTAAATTTATAGTAATTTATTATTTAATAAAACTTTTAATAAAAAAACAACCAATCATAATACTTGAGTCGGCAGTTACATCAATTTAAAACACACTTAAGATATTTTTAAAATAATTTTAAAAATTCAATTTACAGATAAATATTTTCTAATGTATAATTCAAATCTGAGACAAGTGGTGAAAAGAAAATATCAACAAATGCTAAGACAATGAAAAATATCTTTAAAAAGATCAATAAAACCATTTCATGTAATAAAATGGCTGTGGATTTAAGCGAGTTTGCTAGAGCAACTCAAATTAAAATTCCTTTCATAAAGGTTGCCACGGATGATGGTCATTTTAAGATCCTTGTTAAGATATCACTGTATTTCAGTAGTTTCATATATTTTCATTTAAAAAAAAAAAGAATCAAAACAGACATAAATAATTTTTCAACTTGTAATAACACAAACTACTTAACATTTGCTGAACCTATAGCATATAAAGTTTGAAGAACATTTGCTGAACCTATAGCATATAAAGTTTGAAGAACATTTGCTGAACCTATAGCATATAAAGTTTGAAGAACATGTTAATCAGAAAATATATCAATATGGAAATTTATTTCTAACCACAAGTAACTCCCTAACCACAAATAATTTCCAAACCACAAGTAACTTTCTAACCACAAATGGACAAAAAAGTTTCCAAAATACCTTAACAAACAAACAAAATATCTTTCGCACAACTTTGTAAATTGTTTTTATTTAATGAAACTTATTATAGATAAAAAAACCCATTACAACATTTTATTTTAACAATGTGTTTAAAATTGTTTTGCAGTTATATATGATTGCATTTTTCAAAGGTGCTTTTAAAATATTTTTTCAAAACCCCCAAAATTTAATAAAGTTATGCAAAAAACAACCTAATTCCACTTTTAATTTTCACAAAAGGCTGTAATCTGTGAACAAAAAGATTCTTAACACTGGCGCAGCTAAAAGAGTTATTTCAGAAGCTCGTGTATGGATGTTTCCCAATAATTACATTCATTCAACATTTTATGCCATTTCATTCCATTCATGTAGCATTTAGTGCTGTGTTGTATACAAATTTTGCTGAAAAATACTTGCTGCTTTAAATATAATACTTGCTGCTTTAAATATAATACTTGCTGGTTTAAAATTATGCTATTTTTCGAATTTTTTTTGCTTTAGAACTCTATTATTCTCATTACCTTTCATTATCCAGCAACTACGAGACAAACTTATACAGTGTGTGGATTTTTAAATAAATAAATTTTATCCATAATTATAAAAATAAAGAACTTGTTTTAGAACACATATAAACTATCAAGCAAAAGAACTTTAAAACAGCCATGTTTTAAAGAATTTTAAAACAGCCATGAAATTAATGAGAAAAACGAATAACGTGTAAAGAATATATATATATATATATATATATATATATATATATATATATATATATATATATATATATATTTATATATATATATATATATATATATATATAAATATATATACAAATATATATATATATATATATAAATAAATATATATATATAAATATATATATATATATAAATATATGTATATATAAATATATATATATATATATATATATATATATATATATATATATATATATATATATATATATAAATATATATATATATATATATATATATAATATATATATATATATATATATATATATATATATATATATATACAGGTTTTTGCGGAGGAGCATTTTGATAAACTGCCTTGGCAAAAAATACCAAGGCAATTTATCAAAAAAATCCCATCTGCAAACCGCGACTTATCACAATTTGCAAATGGCCGCCTCATTTTCCTTTTTAATTTTTATAGTCATTGACTAATATAAAGTCTAATAATAACATTTTTATTATGTTGTAAAAGCAAATTATTTAATAAAACTAAAATAATGTAATATTTTGCATAAGTCAGTCAATAAATTATAAAATTAACAGAGGAAGCAAACACAATAAAAATTAACAGAGGACTTAAGCAGAGGAAGTAAACACGATAATTATTAATTAGTCAAAAAGAAATTGAAAAAGAGATTGAAACATGAAGTAGCATTACATGAATGTTACAACAAACCGAGCATCATCTAACACTTGATATCTGACAAATATTCTAAAAACTAAATGAAACAAAAAGAATCAATCACTTTAAAGTTTGGCATATTTGGATTTGCAATGAATGTGATTTTAGGGAAAAAAAGAAAAAATTTTAATTTTATGCGAAAGAGGCACAAAGTGCGCTGTCAAACATACAGGCAAAAACAAAATTTTCATACTGTAAACAACTACGCCATTGCATTAGACTTCAACATACCACCTTTTTTTGTTTATAAATTAAAAAGTTACTCATATCAATTATGGTTTTAAGATGGTCCAACTGGCACATTATAAACAATACTAGATTTGGAAAGGATAGAGAAATTGCTACTTGTTAAATGATTAGAATGACTATTCATAAAAATCATGTAATAAATTATCAAAATGGAAAATATTGATGAAGTTAACTTTCTAGTTGTTCAAAAGTTTTATATGAAATATGCTTTACTAGAGTAATAATGCTATACTAGAGTACTTGCAGTCATTGCATTAAAAAAAAAAAAAGTAATTTCTATTTAATAAATTGAAATAAAAATTAAAATAGAAACTTTTAAAGATTTAAGATTTCTGCAACAAAATGTTTCTGATAAACATATCAACAAATCAAAAAAAAAAAAAGAAAAAAAGCTGAAGGTTAAGATTTGACTGATGCTAAAACAATGAAGAAAGTTCAAGAAAAAAAGAAAAACAAAATAAAAAAAGAGTACAAAACATATCACAGGTCTATTCAGCTATACTAAGCAAGCAGCAAAAAGTACTTTAATGTAAAAAATGCTAAGCAGAGGTCTATGATTTAATGCTTTATAATGAAAACAATTCATGATAATTTTGCAATCAGATATGTACTCTAAACAATATTAACAAGTCCTTGAGTTTTTCTTCTTTAAAAAGTGTAGACTTGTTGGTTTTAATATAATTATTAGATAGATCTATTTTTCTTTTTACTTATATTGATTAACTTTTTTATGTATATTGGTTTTTTTCGTTTATTCAATAGAAAGAACTTTCTATTTCTATCAATTTTAACTGTGACAGACTTAAACTAAAATAAATATTAATCTAGTCTCAAAAAATAAATTTCATATAAAAGTTTTATAAATATTTTTTTTCTTTAATTTTTCTCCTACATAATATTATAAAGAAAAAAAATTTTATCTATTGAAAAAAAATTCAATGAAAAAAAAAAATGCTTTCTATCAAAAATAAAACGTAATTTCCTGTTTATTGACCAAAATTATATTAACTTACTCTAGGATAAAGTAACGTTATAAGACAAGATAACAAGTTATAAGAAAAGATAACAATTTATAGGATAAGATAACATTTTAAAATCTTTAACTTTTAAAATTATGATTTTATTTTTAGTATAATGATGATATTTGAACTCACATCAGCCAAAAACACGGTTTCTATTTCATACATATCCAAGTAGCTATCTCCATTTTTATCTAGAAAACAAGGTTAGTAGTGGTTAGTACAAAAATGGTGACCCAAATGATAGCTTTTAGTCAATAATTAATTGGAATGTCAATATATCAATTTGATTTTCAATTTTTTTTTGCTTAAAGACACAGTCACAATTCATAGTTCTCTATGAATTGCTAAGATTAGGATCTTACATTAGGATCTTACATCTCCTTTCATGATATCTGAACCTCAACTCCCTCCCCATCAACTATTTCTCCCCATTAACTTTCCCTAAACTTTATAAAAAAAGATCTCTTTAAGTACAATCATGAAACTGCAATTAAAAAATTAAAGAAATTTTTAAATTTGTGAAGTTATAACTGTGTTAGTGTTTTTTTTAAGAAGAATTTTTTTTTTCATTTTCTTATTATTTTTTTTTTTTTTCATTTTCTCATTTTTTTTTTTCAATGTAATTATATTTACATATTTAGTTTTTTATTTTTGTTTGAGAGTTGCACAATTTTTGCACATTCATTTTGTACATCAATATCCGTTTTTAAAAATTTTACTTTTTTATTTTCAGAAATAAAACATTTCTATTACTATTTTTATTAATGATTAATAGTAAAACTATTGTTTTTATTATAAATTTAAATTGAATTATTATTTAGTTTAAATTTATAATAAAACAACAACTATTTAAAAATTAAATCTCAACACTTAACACGTTTTATTATTAAGAACAGAGATGATTATCAGTACATAAAAAAAGTCACTAGTGCAGATAAAATTTAACAATTTATTGCTGCACTTTATTCAAAGGTCCATGATAAGAAAGAAAATAAAATAAAGATAAATAAAGAAAAATAACAAGAAAAAGGTCAGAAATAAAGTTTACATGTGACATAACCAAGTTCCAAGAAATTTTAAAAGTAATTAAAAATCTCACATGACTTTGGTTTCAACATAATATTATGAAAAAACAAAAAAAACATACCAATAAAAAAATATTTCATATTATTGTTTAGTTATAATTTTAATTTTTAGAGAATTAACATAAAAGGGCATAAAATAAGTGTACTATCAAAGAATAAATAATAAGATTTAAAACTTTTTTACAACTTTTAAATCCAACAATCTAATATAAAACCTTTTAAATCCAACTAATTAATATAAAACGTTAGACCAACATATATAAGACCAACAATTATAACGCCATATATTCATTTACTTTTAAATAGAGTCACAAAACACTAGAAACAGAAACAATTAAAGATTTAATACTTTGTTCAGAACACATAGGTTTTAAAGATTAAAAAAAAAAAAAATCATTGAAATTAAAGCTATATTTTCAAAAAAGGAAATCATTTTTCACCTTTTTAAAAAACTTACATCAGCCAAAAATATGGTCTCCAACTCGTAAAGATCCAAGTAATGGTCAGAATTTTTATCTGTGTGAAACATCAAGATAATAAATGATCAACAAATTAATATTGACATTCCATAAAGTTTTTAAACTTCATATTTTAAATTATTGTAAATAAATTGCTATTTATACCATGCAAGTTAAAAAAAGTTCTTGGATCAAAGCTTTCAGGATCTAAACCATCTTCTTTTTCCCATGTTTCTTCCAACTGAGCTTTATGTCCCTATTAAAAATACAAAAGTTGATACAAAATCAAAAGTTGTAAGATTAAAACAATTTAAAACTATTTTTCTTGAAAGTGATTCTTTTGAAAACAAAACACAACATTTTAATTACTTTTACTTTTATCCGACTTATTAGTGTTGTCTTAAAGCCAAAACCATTAAAATAACTGCAAATGCAAATGAAATTAAAAGCTTCTCAAAACTAAGGAGCATCAATAAAGTACACATGCAGTAAAACAACTGATTTAGGAATCCCCACCCCCCCTTTATACACCTATATGCTAAAGCCATTTTTCAAAATCTCTTAAAATTATTAGTTTCAAAATAAGTTTTACAAAATATTTCTCCAATTAGTTATTTTTTTAATTGTGTTTTTCTCAAAATATGCAAAAAGCATCTTAAGGTATTTGAAAAATGGCTAAAGTATGCTCCAAAAACCCCCTCCCTCACTCTCTTTTGCGTACATTTGCATTATTTATTTTTTTTAAATTAACCCCCCTCCATTCCAAATGTATAAATTTTCAAAACAATTTAAAAAACTTTTAGTTAATTTGACACTTCTCCATTCATAACATAATATTGATTTTTTAAAATCACAAAATGCATTAGTTTAAAAACTATACTTATATAGTTTTACAAGAGAAAAAGAGATTCAAACTGCATATGTACTTGCTGTCTTTAAACTGTCTCAAAACTTTTAGTAAACCATGACTGTCATGTGTTTCAAGTCCAGCTCAACACAGATTAGCATCATTAAATTGACTTTAACTACCAACAAAGAACTTCAAACCAAATCTAATGTTGATGGATGTAGTGGATTTTTAAAAAATTTTGGAAAAATGGTCCAAAAACCTATTGTTTCCAGACCATCCTATACACCTTCTAGATTGCCAAACAGATCTCCTCCTTGGCTTTAGTAATCCTTTATTTAAAACAAGAAATAGTAAAGCAATAATAAAAACTGATAACCGGTTGATAGCATAAGAATGGATAGCATCACTTGATACTCAGAAAGAACAACATCAGGAAGATTTACTAGTAATTAATGTCATATATTGCTAAACAATGAGGATTTCCTCAAGAAAATAGAAAACTTTTTTTGTTTACACACAAAAACATAAAGTTCAGAATATATATTATTACCATGACCTAAATCCACAATAGTAAATGTAATCTTTTAATGTATATCAAATATAAAATAAATGTCATCTACAGTTTGAAGGTAATAATATACTCTACTAACATTACTTAAAATAAAGTATTTTAAAAAATTTTTTAAAAATTTTTAATACCAAATTTAATTCAAAAAATTTTTCAGTCAGTGAAGAAAAAGAAGAATTTCTAAAATGTTGGAGCTTCTTTCTGTAATAAATCTCCCTCATATATAGATGATCCAAACACAAATCACTAGTCAATATATTTACTGATGGCTAAAAATCCTTAAATCCCCCAAAGATGGCTGATTTACAATGAAAGTATTGTAAAATGGTAAATTTATTGTACTTTCCAATCATTTTATTAGAAATTAATGTATATGTTGGAGCCTCAATAAATGGCTATTTTAAAGCAACATTGTCAGTGATGTTTGATGCTAAAGTCAAAATTTGAGTTAAAAATTGAAGATTTTATTAAAAAATAAAGTATATTATATAATTACGGGTTCATGTATCTTCTCATGTTTACTTCTCTGCTCACGATGTTCTTTGTATAATGCTTCTTCCTTAGCACGCTCTTCAGCAGTCATATTATGTAATTTTTCCCTGCGTTCATGTTCTTTTTCCATCTCATAAGCTTTAAATTCTTCATGACGTTTGGCATCTTGTGCACTCATCATATCATTGTGCTAAAAATAAAAATTATGTAAAAACAAGCTAACAAGTTAAGAAAAATAAAGAGTTTATAAAACACATTTACAACTTAATGAAAATCTATCATTGGGGATAGTGCAAAACCATGTAACTAGCATTGGATAATACTGCATATCTACACTACAGATTTTTTACTAGAGAAGGTTAAAACTTTATACTTTTTTTATTTCAACAGTTTTTGGGCTCAGTTTAGTATAAAGAGTATTATTCATGTTTTTTCCAAAGTTTTTTGTAGCCAATGCTAGTTACACAGATTTACACTATCCTGACGCTATCCCTTTTTACAACTTAACGTAGGAGCAAAGTTGAGGGTGAAGACCAAAGTTGAGGATTGGGCAAAAGGACTACAACTTCTCCACTTTTTTTGTTATTACAAGGCATATATTTTAATAAATAGATGACTTCTATGGTTTATGAGGGAAAAAATGCCAGAAATTAAAATAAAGCTAATCAGTTGAAAACAGTTAAGATATTTTGAAATGTGTATGTTTGTAATATTGAAAAAATATATACCTAAGGAAATAACTTTGCAAAATAGTTATGAAATTAATACAAAGCATTAAAAAAAAGAAATTAAAACTGACATAATCAATTATATGTTTAGGAAATCAGCACCAGAAATCTATTTTAAAAAGGCAAAAAAAAATTCTACTAAAAATATTAACTATACTAAAGTTGTGTTTAGACAATTCTGCTACAGTTTTAATGTGTGTTAGAGATAAAAACTCACTTTAAAACTATAACAGATGAACAACAGTTTAGCATTTACATTAAAACTATTACAGCTGAACAATTGGTGAGCATTTACATGGTCACTTTGCATGGTTACAAAGCTTATTAACATATCAAATGAATCTGCATTCTAATTTGTTTACAAAAAGCTGATATTTCAAAACTTTTTAAGAAAATTTTTTTGAGGTTTTTTTTTTTTTTAATTGAACTGTAACATAGTAAAAAAATATTTCAGTGAACTGAACAATATATCTAAATCACTAAAAAACACCATATATATTTGAAAAATTAAACATGTTTAATTTTCATAACTTTCTTTCTCCCCTTAAAAAACTAACAAAAAAAGTTTAACAACTGCTCTAATACTAAGTGGATTAACAGAACATTAAATAAAACTTAAATTATATAAGAAGTACATGAGAAAAATAGAAAAGTTTTATTCTAACACCAAGTTTAAGTAATCTACGCACAGTATAACAGTATCTAATTCTGGCAATATTTAAAATTTTTAGTTTCATTTGAGTCAGAGTATTATTTGCTAATTTAAAAAAAAAAAAAAAAACAACTTTTACAAGAAAAATTAGTAACAAAATTTTAAGAAAATAAAATCAATATTAATATATATTTTTAATTCATTTATAAGAAAAAGGACTGCCATGAAAAAATGTCAAATATTGATAAAAGATTTTTATTTTTATTTTTTAACAAACCGAAAGCAAAAGAAACAAAAACATTTTACCATAGCATAACTTCACTGATTTAAGTTAATTCTCAATTAGCTAGTTGTCTTGTAACTTAGTGAATTGTTGTAGTTTAAAAAAGTTAATGTCCATAAATAAGAAAAGTGAATTAAAAATTTTTGTCACAAATTCCATTATGCTTATAAATTACACATTTTTATTCATAACAAGTCCTGAATATACCTACAAATAGTTAGAAAGAACAATAAAACTTAATGTTTAAACAAAATAATAAAAATTTAAACAAAACTAAAATTTCATAATAAGTTTTTTCATAATAAAATTTATTACTATACTATCTATAGTCATCTATCTATATATCTATAATCTATCTATATATCTATAAATAAAAACTGAAAGAATGTTTAAAAATTTACTTTTGATAATAGTTTTTTCAAATCCTCCATTTCAAAAGAGTCTTTATTGTCATGATGTATAGGGTTCCAATAGTTTCTTTCTATGCCAGACATGAAGTCTTGTCTTTGTCGTAACAACTCTCTTTGATATTCAACTTCTGTTCTTTTTATCTCATCAAGTTTTAATCTAAATTAAAATTTTAATTCTTTATAGGTTACTTTTATGCACAGACTAGTACAATAATTAACTCTTTAAAAACAAAAAACAAAAATGCAACTGAGGACATTTAAATAAACAAAATAAAAATAATAGCATTAATCTGCAATGCAAAACACTTATAAAATGCCTTAAAAAAAAACCTTATTTACCTACACTTAGGACATATTGACTACATATTGACTCAGTTCCAATTTTAGTAAAATAGATCAGATTAAAAATGGTTTAAAGGTCCACTCATATGGTACATATAGAATGTAACAGAAGCCATAAATTGACTACAAATTTCCTTAAGATGCACAATAATATTAGTTAAAACTTTTTTTTATCACTTTAACATGGTTTATTTATTTATATTGATTTTTGCTACCAAATAATCATATTTCCTTAAATTACTAATTAATAATAATTTGCTGAAGAATCAAAAAACACTCATAATTTTTGAAACAACTTTTTTTTGAATAGAAAAGCTTAAAAAAAAAAAACTTAAAAATGTGAAACTAAAAACGAATCAAAAAACGAATGAATCAAACAGAATCAAAAAATACTCATTTTTGCTACCAAATAATCATATTTCCTTAAATTATAAATATAATTTGCTGAACACAGAGTCAACAAACACTCATAATTTATGAAACAACTTTCTTTTGAATAGAAAAGCTTAAAAATATACATTTATTCTTCTAAGAAAAATTCTTTAAATGACAAATAGTTTATTCTATAGAATTTAAATGTAGACTAAAAATTATTTAAAATCTAAAAGAGATCTTTTAGGAATACCAACCTTACAATAACTGACTTATGTCTCTCGATAATTTTGCATAATCGCTTTAATAAGCAAAGATAAAAACAGATTTATTTTCTTATTAGGCAAGATAAAAAGAGATCAAGATTGAGAACTTTAAAAATATTGATAAAATCATAACAAAAGCCAAATATAGAATTGTTAGCTTTAAAGGTTTTAATAATTGAATATTTTACGAGACTACAGATACTTTCTATAAAAACAACAGAAAGTTTTTTCAGAAACAACAGAAAGCTTTTTTAGAAAAGTTTGTTTATGATCCTGAAAATATTTTTAAATAAAAAAACAAGAAATGATATTTTTAAGTTTACTTTTTCTATGGTGAAAAAGATCGAGAAATGTTTAATGATGATGCCACCTAAAAAAAGTATTCGTAGTTGTCTAAGCTAAGTAAATTTTTAAATTCTACCTTACATCTCATATGCATTGATACATACTTTATAAAACAATTTTAGAACCATATATTGAAAATGGTGCTGTGATATAAGACACAATTTATGAAGATAATTTGTGATGATTATGAGTAGTAAACAACTGAGTTTTGTTTCGATTAAATTTCATCAGCCACTTCAAACTGTAAGCTTTCACAAGTGCACAAGCTTTTACTTGGCTCAAACTGATTAAAAAGTGATGCTTTTTATTAAGAACAGAGTATATATAACTGTGTTTTGAGTAAGTATAGCTACTTTAGTGGCAAGATGGTCAAAAAAAAAAGAAAATACTTTTTAATAAACAATATATACAGGGATAAAATTTTAATAATAAACTAATAAACTTTTAATAAATAAAATAAATAAAATAATGTAATTTTTATTTGTTACTCTCTAATTTTTTTTATATAAAAAGTAATTTGTAGTTGCAAAGTCGCAATTAGAAATTTATAAAATAATCATTTTTAAAACTCAAAAATTTAACATATTTTAATTCATTTATACAAATGCCGAGAAAAGAAAGAATTTTGTTAATATCAAACATTTTTAAAAATGCAATATAAAATTTAATTTTTTAAAATTCAAAAAAATAGTAAAAGAAAATAAATATTCCCTTATAGTAATAATAAAAAAGCCGTTAAATAACATTGAACTCATTTTGCGGTAATTAAAATTATTGCAGTAATTTAAAAAAGTTTTTAAAAAATAAATAAAGCTTATTATTTGTTATTTTTATTAATGATATATCAAATATATTTAAAAATAAGTCAGAATTGTATGCAGATAATACAAAAATTCTTTCAAAAGTGAATGAAATAAATGTGGAAAATAGCTTGCAAAAAGATCTGGATAGTGCAGAGGAATGGTCTAAAAAATGGCTCTTAGGTTTTAATTCTAGTAAATGTGTTGTAATGCATTATGGTATAAATAATCCGCGATTGAAATATACTTTAAATGGTGTTAAGCTGAAAGATTCTGAATGCAAGAGAGATTTAGGTGAATTTTTTTCAACAAACTTGAAATGGAAAAAACAAATTATATCAAGTACTTCTAAAGCAAATTCAATGATGGGTACGCTAAAGATGACATTTTCACGAATTGATGCAAAATTGGTTAAAACATTGTATAAGGTATTTATTAGACCTCTTATTGAGTTTGCAGTACCTGTTTGGTCACCTTATTTTAAAGGAGACATATCACTTTTGGAAAAAGTTCAACACAGGATGACTAGATTAGTTCCATCATTAAGGAAAATTAATTATGAAAAGAGATTGGAAATATTAGATATATCTACATTGAAAACAAGGAGGGAACGTGGGGATTTAATACAAGTGTTTAAATTACTTAACAGATTTGAGGAAATTGATTTAATTAATGAACCAAAGCTTAAAATTGATTCAATTACTCGAGGTCACAATCTTAAATATGAAAGACAAATTGTGGACTATTTACGTCGGCATCATTTTTTATGAAATCGTACGACCAATTTATGGAACACTTTACTGGAAACTGTTGTTACTTCAAAAACTGTCAATCAATTTAATAATAGATTAGATGAGTATAACGCCAAATCAAAGAAGTTTTAACTAAACATTTTTAATATATATTTGGATTAATGCTGTCAAAGTGTGATAAACCACACTCGCTGGATTCGTCCAGTTACAGTTTAACTACTAACTAACTAACTAAAAAAGTGAATTTTATGATGTTAAATATTGTGTTAAGCTAATACATTTTTATATAATGTAATTATATAATAAAAATATATTATAAAAATGTATTAGCTTTAACACAATATTTAATATCATAAAATTCACAAATGTATCTTGTTGATACATTTTTATATAATGTAATTTTATTTTAATTAATCTAAATTTATTTATTATGAAAAATGTTCTACAAACCTCACTCCATGCCCAACTAAATCTAAATAATTGGCAATTTTTCCTGAACGAATATCTTCTTCTGAAGCATTATGTAGCTTGGATTTAAATTCAGGATCTTTTTCAAGTACTTCTACAACTTGTGATAAATATCTAAAGTATTCAGCATCTTGCTTGTCTTCTACAGTTCCAGTCTCATTTGCTGGTAGTTCTGGTTCTTTTTTACCAACAGGCGGTGCAACATGCAAACTAATTAGTGCCAAAAAAATACCAAAAGTAAGAAGTTCCTTCATTGTTTATATTTAAATTGTATTTCTAAAATATTGACCCTTAAATAATAGTAAAAAAAACACACTTTAAGATTGGTTAAAATTTCATCGCATTCAATAAAGTGTTATTTTATTGTGTAATCTGATAAATTATAAAAATATGACTTCGAACAACAGTTAACTCTTCATACTTTAATTTAAAAGTAAACTTTTTTTTTAAAGATAAACAAGTTATATCTAAATAGGAAAAACCAGTTCTAATCGATTACTTATATTTCATCTTTTAGGCATACGTTTAAGATTTATTTACCAATATTATTTATTAATTTTAATGATAATTTGGAAAACAAACTCTACTGAACGAAATTTATACTTTCAAAAATTTTGTTTACATTTATTATGCTTACTCAGCAGTTGATGTCAATTTGAAAAAGACGTGGCATGAAATAAAATCGTCAGCTAAAAAACGTGGCAGTTTTAAAATATAAAAAACAAATTGACGTAAAGTTAACGCAAAATGTCGCTTTAATAGTGCTTTTATTATTTTTAGGCATTTACATCATCTTTATAGCATTTTGAAAGATTTAGTAATCTTAGTATACAAAAATAATCTTAATAAGATTCTTAAAACTAATTTAACATTTTGAAATTTAAAAATATACATCGTGAAGATACTGCTAAAATATATATCTAATATGATGCCGTAAACATCTCTATATTTCAGTGATGTCATCGATGGCTTAGTGTTTCAAAACAGAATTAAAAACTTCTTATGTGTTTGTTTTATGGATATAAACGGAAAAGGAAATTATGAATTTATGAAACAAACTCAAAATAATTTGCAAAGAACAATTATTCATAAAAAAAATTACTTGTTACTAGTTTTATGGTTTATTAACATGCTTGATAACGGAAGACATGTCTATTTTGCTTCAAAATGAACAGATAGCAAACAATGTATAGATAACAGTATATGAAAATATAAAAAATAGTTAGGAAAGAGTATGGTTGTTTTAAAAGCTTATTAACTTTTATATATTTAGTTGTAAAAAAAATACAAGTTCAACATTCAGCAAAACCGTATTTAACTTTATTCTATTTCTTGATCAGTTTTTCATAGTGATCAGTTGTGATCATAGTGATCAGTCATAGTTGATCAGTTTTTCATAGTTTCATAACTTATTCAATATTTGAATACTTCAATAATAGAAGTAACGGTTTTTCTTAATGTTTTTGTTTTAAACTATAATTTGTTTTTATTGAAAAAGCTCTAGGTATTTAGTAATATGAAAATGATCTTATATAGCAATCTAGATTGCTATATAAGATCATTTTTACGTTACTAAATACCTAGAGCTTTTTCAATAAAAACAAATTATAGTTTAAAACAAAAACATTAAGAAAAGTTTCATTTAGCATTAAATAAAAACGATCTTATATATATATATAAGATTGTTTTTACTTAATGCTAACTGACGCAAAAATTATATGGAAGTATTTCAACTATGAAGTCAACTTTCTGTAAAACTGTTTTGCTTATTTATCAAGTCTTAAAAAAATGAATTTCTAAGCATTGATAAAATTTTTTCTTTTAATAATAAATACAGTTTTTTCAAATTTTTTAATATTAATAATAAACTTTAATAATAAACTTTTTAATATTAATAATAAACTTTATTTCCGTGGCGCAGTGATTAGAGTTCAGCTCAGAATAAAATGTTTCTTGGTTCTCTAGTCCAATAAGCAAAATTGGTAAGGAAGACAGCTGGTTAAATGCTTCTCCGCGGTGCTCTGTGATTAGACCGATAAGTCTTCTTGGATCACTTTAACAACTTAGATAAAAATTTCGTGTTTCACTTTGTTGTTGCTTTATTTTTTTAATACTTAAAAGGGCCGACGACACGGATTGGGAAGTGGAGGAGCACAATCGTAAATTTAAAAAAAAAGTCTTGCATATCTAAAATTCTCTCTAAAAAAAAAAAAAAAAAAAGTCCTTTAGAAAAAAAGCCCTGGCCCCCCAGTTTCATCGGCCATACCTAAGGTGGTAGAAGAAAACTTTAAGAGGAAAATTCCTTCCTTCCTTCTTCCTTTAAGAGGAAAAAAATTTAAAACTTGGTATTATATGGGAACATTTATGTTTTTCTAAAATGTTAGATTAAATCGTTTCAAAAAATAACAAAATTAATTTTTTTTACTCCGCTGCTTAATATTTATGCGCATAAATTAGCAAAATTTAGGCAAATAAATTGACCTTTTTTTAACAAGAATATCTTGAGAGCCATACCTGTTCTGCTAACCAAATTTTAAAAGTAGTTTTATATATGTTCAAAAAATGTGCTAAATTAAAAATTATACAATAAACAACATTTAAAAACTTTAAAATCATTATATTTGATCAATAAAAAGAAAAAAGTATAAGTTGCTAAAATTCAAATTTTAATAATTAATATAAAAAAAAGTTAACTTTGGTTCAGCACATCACAGATATACTCACGAATAATTGCTGAAAATTTGAAAAAAACCTAATGAGCGGTTAAAAGTTATCTTTGTTAAAAAATTAAAAGATACACAAAAAGTTAAACGCTAGAAAAACGCAATTTAAAAAAATATTAAAAGCACATTAAGTTTTTTAGGCAATCAACCCTACTAAAAACCACCACTGTTGTATGCAACACCACCTGCTTCATTATGTTAGTTAATAAAGCCTTTATTTAATGGCTCTTAACTTTTTTCTCCTATTTTTTGTGTCATCTGTACTTTTTATCATATTCTGTTTAATGCGTATATAATCTACATTTAGAGAACTTTTTGTTGTAAAATATCCAGGCAAAACATTGCATTTTTTAAATACTGTTAATAAACCCTAAACTCCATTAATAAAGCTAATTATTGCAGAAGCCAAAACAATCTTAACAATTTCAAACTCACGGACTCAAAAAAGTTCAAAACAAATGAACTCTTTTGAGTCCGTGAGTCCAAGCCATTTCATTTAGCGATTCATTGACATTTTGAGTTTGACCATGTAAACTTTTCTTAAGCAACTTATCACTGCCAAGAACTTTTTTCCATAATTTCTCCTTTGTATGGATTTGAATCATAAACTTGCATATAAGACTTGGTATCTCATTCAGCAATGTATGTCATGTAGTTGATTTTAAGCTCTTTGACAGATCGCTTGAATATTTGTAGAGTGCCTAAAGATTCCATACTTTCTGAGCTGATCTTCCAGTTCTCGTAGGTTGGAGTACCTATCTTCTTGAACTTATCTTGCAGGGGTAACAATTTTTTGTTTCAGCAACAGAATCAATACAATTTCCATGAGATATTGCTGCGACTATACTATTTATTGAGAAGTATCCTCTGCGCTGCCATGAACCATCTAAACTAACAGCAACATTGGCAATTGATGATTCATCATAATTTTCGACAAGGTTTTTATTATGTATGTTCTCTGAGGCTTTATTTTTACTCACTCTAGAGGTTTCAAAGTAAGCAACAAGAAACCATGGTAAAATGGTAACCATGTTATGTTATACCAAAAGACATATTCATTAAATAACAAAAAGTAATAATTGCAATGTATCTTTCCCCAATTTCTCGAAAAGCTAACACAGTAGGTTGAGGTCTTTAATTTTTTACCTTTGATTACTTGATTTTTTATTTTCTGTTAATTTTAAAGTTAAAAAATTCATCGTCAAGGTAAAATCTTGAGAAGAAGTGTGAGAAAGAAATTTTTGATTAATGTCGTGTAGAATAATGATACTGATTAACTTACATCGGTTGGTGAATGTGCAGACAAAACAGTTTGTTGTAAAACATGTGAATTATTTAGAGAATTTGTTTCTAATTTATGAAATTTTCTTTTCTTTACTCTTGCTTTAGCATATCCATTTTTTTGAACCTATTTATCATGAAACTTATCAAAAAACAACCCATCAATGAAAAATTTTTGTTAAAGAGTAATTATCTATATCTTACAGAAACAAATATGAGATTTCAATTTATGGATATTAGATTGAAAACCAACAAGAGTTCTTAAGGAACTCATAATTTAATCATAAGCACACAAAAAACTACATAAATTGGACATGTATTTTTCAAGATATTGCAAGAAATATATCTCTAAGGGCCGTTGCTATGGCACTTTATTTTTCAATACCAAATCTATTAAGGATAATTTAGGTCTTTTGATTTATTTATTATTAATTTATTTATTATTATTATAAGAGTAGATATAATAAATTAATGAAAATTGTAATAACTGAAATTTTAAAGAAAAAAAAAATTTTAACCTTTTTTTTGTGCTACTACCACCTTTAACGTTGATCAAATCATAATTATTATTATAATTCTATTCGTAGCCATTCAATAATATAGTTTACATTTTTATCTTTATAACTTGTTAGTGGTGATTACTGATTTTTTCGACCTCTAAAATTTGTTGCATTTATAAAATGTTTACTTGTAGAAATTAAGCGTCTTTACTTATAGAAATTTACTATATATATTACTTGACTAAAATAGAATTTAGTAGTAGTGGTAGTAGTAGTTTCATTTATTTCGCTGTTAAGAATATATACATTATACAAAAATAACAAAAGAAAATGGCTGGAGCAAGAAGAAGGATTAATAACCCTTATCACCGAGGCCCATTACAAACGGATTTAACAAGTCCTTAAAATAATAATAATAATAATAATAATAATAATAGTAATAATAATAATAATAATAATAATAATAACAATAATATATATATATATATATATATATATATATATAAAGGTACAAAAAAAAATTAAAACTAAAGTTAGTTAAGAAAGAAATAAAATACATACTAACACATACACACATACATATAAATATATACATATTGCCTCGTATTGTCGTTTTCATTATAAAATGAATAAAATTCCATTCACAACAACATAAAAAATATAAAAGTTTCAAAAACAAAATAAATGTATATTAATTTACAAATAGATACTGCATATTTGAAGTAAATAAAAAAAAAAAAAAATTATTTTCAATAAATATAATATTTATAACTAATATTTTTCGAAAAAGTGTGATAAAGACATTGATATT